AAAAAAAAAAAAAAAAAGGAATTAATAAGCAACCATCTAAATCTTATTCGATGAATGTGCAAACAAGTTTTCTGGCCAGCCGGAGTAGAGCCGAACATTCGTATAACGGGCACCTTCAGAAACATTTAACAAAAATAATTTATGTTAATATCAAAACCATAGCACCGTGTTTGGTGACGCAGAAAATTAACCAGAACATCCACTCACTCAGTCAAACCCACACCTCTCACGTCTCACAGTGAACTATCAAATTCCATAAGTTGAAGAGTAAATCCTAAGCCCGAGTTTGGTTGCAGAAATTATGAATGAATTTTTTTGAAATCTAAGTTCAATCAAACACATAGTAGCCAAGTGAAGGAAACAGTGGCTATGAATTTAAGCAAATTGACCGTACGGCGTCGTTTCACGGAGGGGTTGGGAGAATGGTACCTTGGAAGCTACTGTAAGAGACATCGAGGCCTGGGATCGGCGGCGCCATGTAGTAATCGACGGAGATTCAATAAAGTTGATAGGAAATGATACCTATGTCGGTTCTGAGAGCACGGTTACGCTAATTGAATATGGGGGCATTAGTATTGGGTCAACTAAAGTCAGTCTCAAAAAGATTTTCAATGACGTAATCTTATATATACCATGTTTACTGACCACACCTATAAGACTTTAATAAAAGCGAAACCCGCTTAAATAGGCGAGAACAGGCTCAATTATACTGTAATAAAAATACTTCATAAGGTTACACGAAAGCAAAAAGGCAACAGTTTGGTTCTCAAATTTATAAACAAATTTACAGACACAGAGAGAGAGTGTGTGTGTGTGCGTTCAACTTTGAAGTTTAACTTTGCTAGCTATATTAGCACTTTCCCATTATGCTTATTTTGGTCATTCAACATAAGAAGCGGATTCAACATAAGAAGCGGATTCATTAGCCCAAGCAACAGATTTAAACTACTTAACTGGCTAAATCCATTTATTAAGGAAAAACAGCTTCAAAGATTGTTATGATTCGATGAACCAGAACCACCAAACAATGAAGTTCAATGCATTATTTCATTGCATAACTACACTTAGTAAGCTAAGTCTTTCACTCAAAGATCTTCTGGATCAGTTGTTGGATCCGGTTCGTGGGCGGGGACTTTGACCTTTGGCGGTGAGGGGGCTTTCTTCCTCCTCTTATCCTTCACTTTAGGCTCCTCCTCCTCCTCCTCTATGACAGTCTCCTTGGCCTTCTGGTCCTCGATCACAAGGATTACTCTTTTGGTAAACCTCTCACTTAATGGTTTTAACTCTTCTTCATCCAGTTTCCTTTTCCCTTTCCCAGTATTATTGGGTTTGCTAGCCAACACTAGGCCAACCCCAATAAACAGGATGAACACAAGAGCAAGATGTATCTTACTCTTGTGTTCATCTTGTAAAATACTAGAAAAACTGACCTGCTTGATAAGAAATGGATCAACACTGTTGTTTTCAATGTTCCTGTTAAGAAGCAATAAGAAAACCAGATTTAAAAAAGAAGGGAAAACTAATGCTGGGAAAGGGCAGATAGAGTAGACACCTATCAAAGAAAGATCTAAAAAGATGAACAAGATGTTGCAAAGTGCAAGTGGATGGAATAGAAACCTACATATCTGTTTGTGGAAGTAGCACAGCTAGATAATCAACTGATCCAGTAAAGTTGTTATTCTGCAGGAACCTGCAGATGCACCCAATAGACATGTGAAATCAGTGAAACATAACTGCACAATACACTCAAGCAAAAAAAAAAAGACTAAAAAAAGCACAAACTCACAATCCAGTGAGGTTTGTCAAGGATCCAAATGAACTTGTGAGGCTTCCAGTCAAGTTATTGTATGACAAATCCCTGCAGAAATCAAAACTCACAAGTAAGAAATGCATGTCATTTTGGAGATTTGTTGCTACGGTTACAAGTCGATAATTTGCGTAAGCATGTTCATGAATGTGGGCTTTCCAAGAGGATTGAGTTAGTCATTACATCTGCTTTGCTAAGGTAATCATAGGGGTCATTTGGAAATTAAATTGTAAGTTATTTTCTCAACATATTTTTCTTCCTTTGCTAGAGGTTTGGTAAGCACATAGAAAAAATTTACATAACTATTTGAAAGGAAGCATACAGTTCTCTTAAGTTCTGTAGGCTGGTAAATACATTGCCAACAGGTCCAGATAACAAATTGTGGCTTAGATTCCTGCAAGAAAGGAAAAATTACAGCTTAATTATGCTGAATAATCATGAACCAAAACCAGTAATTAATCAGTATGCAACTCACAAATGTTGGAGACTTTTCATGGTAGGTAAAGAATGGAGAAAATATCAAAATTGTAGAACATGTAAAATAAAACCAGTTGTATGAACGAGGAATCGTACTTACATATGAGTGGCATTTTGGGGTAAGACATATGGAATTTCACCCACTATGTAATTGGAACTAACATCCCTATAAGAAGAAACCAGATGAAAAGGTTTACACAAACCATATGTGAAGTAATTTAATTTCTTTTTAACAAAAAACTTACAGTGTCTTCAGGTTGAGCATATTATAGAGCTGGGCACTAAGATACCCGGAGAGGTTCAGCCCCTGAAGTTTACTGCATAAGGTGAGGGGGGAATTGAGTTTAGTACATAATCCAAGTATAGTTAATATGGCCAACAACAAAAGAATTAATGTACTAGAGCATTACAGGTGTATTATAGATGACCCAGAACATGACAGTCCAGCCCATGATTCACCACAAGGATCCCCACTATCCAATCTCCATCCCTTCAGCTGCGGAGGGCCATTAAGAGCCTTGTAAAAATCTTCAACAGCCGTGACTGTAGTGCATAGAGAGAA